TGATTATTACGTTTTGAATATGGATATTTTTATTACAAAAACGCATCGATTCGCTACAGGTGGCCTTTGTTCACCACCCCCCCGAGCCGTGTGAGACACTTTTTATTATGGATGGATGCGCTTTATTTCACTTCTTTTGGACTGATGAACTGCAACACTCGCTGACTGCCATTAAACAGCTTGGAAGATCAAAGACAATTTTTTATATAACTTCCGATTGGATTCATCTGAAAGAAGGAAGTCATACACGGCTAGGATGGCTTGAAGGTGAGTAAATAATGGGCTAATTTTAATTTTTTGGGTGAACTATGCAACTAAATTCCTTTTAACATGACTGCTCAAAATGGTCTAAATTTATGAAACCTACACATTCAAAACATCATTATTACTCTGAAATTTTTCATGTAAATATTAATATTAAGTGGTAAAGAGGTCTTTCATGACGCTACAAATGCTGGGGTGTGAATTTGATAGGTGCTTGATATAAAATAAATGGTGCTTTAAAAAGTCCTTGAAAGTCCTTGAATCTGGTGTTGATGAAAACGTGGGAACCCTGCTTGTTATTGTATGAAAGAAAACAGAGTGGGTTTTGACTGTAATAGAAGTAGGAAGTATCAGAAAGGAGGTCAACAAAAGGGAAAGGGGTAAGCAAAAGACAAAAGCAAAAGAGGAACTGAGAGAAAAGGAAGAGAAAGAAAAAGGAGGAAGAGAGAAAAGAGAAGGGGTTCAGGTGAGTGCACTGAACAGAATCAAAGGGGAAAAACAGACACATACAAACACATATACACCAGCTGCAAACACATGACCTGAAGATGAGATAAGCCACACATCAATGCCCTTCTGCTCTAATAACCAGCCGCACTAAAACTTACATGGCCAAATTCATTCACCTGCTCTATGATGTCTAAAGTGTTTGCTAGGTTATACAGGCATGGCATGTACAGTACGCATATTATTTCAGTATTATGTAGCGAATTTTAGCTCAACGACAGGAAATATGAATAATTAACCATAACTAGTTATAATTAACTATTCATATTTTAGATCCGCTGTAGATATTTAGCTGACCACTCAGGGTCAACTGTCTTGTCAATTCTAAGAACGTTAATTTCCTGGTTAAGGGAAATAACTTTCTTACTGTACAATTCTTCCAAGCTTGTAACGTAAATCTGCATGATTAGTGACTCCGGTTATGAGCAAACAATGAACACGTCAAGTGTGATACAAGTAAGGTTTTATTAACTACATAAACACTTAAACTAGTCTAACATACTACATAAACACATAAACTGATCTAACATACACATACACACACACACATACAGTTGGTATAGGAAAGGGTTAAAGTTTAACTCAGCACAGAAAGAGGCATAAAGAATGAATTTTATGGAACACTTTGCATATTCAGCAGATCTAAAACCTGAGGGAAAACGTCAAATTCTTAGTTCAAACAAACCTTGTAAAAAGGTGTAACTGATACTTAATATATCAATTAATAAGACTAAGTTTGATACTTGCGAATCTCGGCGGTCTGAAAGAGATTCCTGATGCAAATCTTAAAGCTTCCCATTGATCTTTGCTGAATTCGGGTCGATGAAAAGAACCAGTTTGAGTCAGAGTCACTTGATGAATGAAAAGGACTAGGCCGGAGCCTGGCACGAGCTTTGGTATCCTGGAGCGTTTCTCACATCTTCATCTTAGCATCGTCTAGCTAACAAAATATATATTGTGTGTTTGATTGGTCCAGACGCTACAATTATTTATGTACTATTATAGTAATATTTTGAATTAGCTTTAATTTTTATATTTTCAGTTTTAATTTTAAAGAGCAGGTCATATGGTATTTTAAAGTGTCCTAATATTGTGTTGGGAGTCCCCTACAACAGATTTAAACTTACTCGGTGGTAAGTTTAAACTTTGTATGCGGTACTTTATGTGATGTGACAGCAGTTTTATTGCATTCATTATTATTATTATTTACTTATTTGAGGTGCACGTGTGGGAACTGTGTTAGAATGTCCAGTGAGGCTGAAAACACAGCGTCTTCTCGACATGATGTAAACACACTAAGTAACTAGCGGAAGTGTTTGTGGGCAGGTGAGAGTGTTCGTATTTCACGGACAGGCGGGGATTATGCAAATGTGTTACCTTGTGACGTATATAGGTAACAGGCAGAAGATTCGAAAATATGACAAATTGTTAAGCCAGTTCAGAGTCGACTCTTTCTTTTGAGAGACAATATCTTTATTTATCATGCACTTTTTTGATTAACAACTTTGCAGACTGTTTACACTGAAGGATAGCTACGATTTTTTTTTGCAAAAAAAATATATTTTTCAAAAACCCATATGACCTGCTCTTTAATTTCAGTTTTACTTTGTGTTTTTAAATTTTTCTATTTAACTTTATTTTTATTGATTTTAGTTTTAGTCATTTTAGTATTTCAAGTTAAAGGGTTAGTTTACCCAAAAAAGAAAATTCTGTCATTAATTACTCACCCTCATGTCGTTCCAAACCCATAAGACCTTCGTTCATCTTCGGAACACAAATTAAGATATTTTGATGAAATCCGAGAGCTTTCTGACCCTGTATAGACAGCAATGCAACTACTATGTGCAAAGTATACAAAAATAACGACTTCATTCAACAGTTCTTCTCTTCTGTGTCAAGTCTTCGACACACATTCCCGAGAGTACCACGACGCATGTGCACTTTGCGCACAAAAAGTATTCTCATAGCTTCATAAAATTAAGGTTGAACCACTGATGTCACATAGACTATTTTAACAATGTCCTTGCAAAGTTTCTGGGCCTGGAATGTTTGTGTACCAAATATGAATGAAGGTCTTACAAGTTTGGAACAACATGAGGGTGAGTAATTAATGACAGAAGTTTCATTTTTTGGTGAACTATCCCTTTAACCTTATTTATTTAATTTAGTTACCAACTAAGGCAGCTTTTTTGTTTGTTTAGGTTTATATTAAGTTTTTCCATCTAATATTTATATTTTATTTCAATTATCCAAAACGTTTTTTTTTTATAGTTTTTTTAAGTTAACAATAACAACACTGGTGATGGAGCTCCTGAATTATGACATTATTATTAGACATTTTAAGAAGTAATACATACTATTACTATTTTTATTAGTGGTGCTCTCTAAATTATAGAGATATGAGATGGGCTCAGTGACCCAGAACATCCTAGAACCCACATAGCAACAAGTCAATACCACTCAACCAAACACATACTGCAGCTTGGATTTGTATGTGGAAGCCAGATGCCATTTCTTTGTATTATTTGAAACTTGGTAACACGCAATTTAATTTGAGCACATTTTTCTTGGACACTGAACTGAACTGAATCAACACTGAACTAATTTCAGCTGAATAAAGACTGTTTACTACTGTCTTTTTAGAGCTGTTTTACAGCAGAATTTAATTTTGTTTGCATCATTGAATCATTATTTTCTTGTTTATCACCGCGAGGCAGTTTTGAAACAATCTGTATTGTATAAAGCGATATACAGTATACTGTAAATAAAGATGACTTGACTTGACTAACCTGGGATAGACGTCCCCAGGGCAACAAAGACCACGGCGGTGACTGAATCCTTCAGGCCAATAGTGCACCCAAAGTGGGAGGCAAGATCGCCTGTGACCGCCGTCAAGACACCAATCAGACAGATGGACACAATGAAGCATGCCCATCCATTCCAGTACTCTGTGGGTGGGACGAAGGCAAAGAGAACCTTCCAGAAGACTGTGAGGAAGTGCATGATGTAATCAAAGCAGGATGGAAGACGCTCTTCACCACTCTCCTCCTCATCAGCGTCACCTGAGATGAGCAATATATGTTAGATGGTGTGAGAGAGTTCAAAGCCGGTTGAGAATTTAGTCTAATTCATACTGCAAAGGTGGCACAGAAGCGCTTCTGAAGTGATTTAGGTGTCTTTACACAGACTGTTTAATGCTGCTCAGAGGTGGCATAAATGCATTTCCACAGTAATCACAAGTGTATGCTTTGATACAAGGGGCTGAGATGGGTCTGAGCAGTAGTCTGGCTTTTATGCGGCATTGCACCTTTACACTAAATTTTGAGCAGGAACAAAGCAGTCTTAACTAAGCTGCGCAAAAACACCTTTTGACTCATAAAAGAACATTAAGGTAAATACACTTGATATTTTCATAGAGATTCAAACAGATACAGCACAACATAGTCTACCGTTCAAAACTTTAAGGTCCAGTTGAATTTTTTAATGTTTTGAAGGAAGTGTCTTCTGACATTGTATCATACTGATACAGTATGAACTCTAATATTTTAAAATAGTTTTTTTATTTTTTATTTAAAATGGAATTTATCCCTGTGATGGCAAAGCTGAATTCAGCAGCCATGAATACTTTAGAAATCATTTTCATATGCTGATTTGGTGCACAAAAAAAACATTTCTTATTATTACCAATTTTGAAAATAGTTGTCCTGCTTAATATATTGGTGGGAAAACGTGATATTTTTTCAGCAGAATTTAATAGAATTTATTTGAAATAGAAATATTTTGTAACATTATAAATATAACTTTTGATCAATTTGATCATGTGTCCTTGCTGAATAAAACTATTAATTTCTCTCTCGAAAACAAAAAAACAAAAAACGATAATACTGACACCAAGCTTTTGAACGTTAGTTTATATTGTTAACCATACACAGCAGATGTATAAATAAAGAACCTATTTTTTCATAAGTTGAAAAGGCATTAATACATATTCACAGTTGTACAAGCGTCTCAATGATGAATGATAATGCCCATGTACAAACTGTAAAGGGTGAACAAACAGGAAGTATCATACCTGCACTCACAGTCACAGCACTAACAAACTGCTCTCTCCAGCTACTGCTGCCGACTACCAGAGCCAGGTTAGTCTTCTTAAGGAGCTTATCCACTGTACTCTATACACACACACACACACACACACACACACACACACACAGTTGCAGCCACGTATCAAGAACTGTTCTGTGTGTTGCACAGCTGGATGCTTTGGCTTTGCTTGGAACTATTTTTGTTGGTGAAAATATTTCTATTTACATATTATATTTATTGAAATGTTACATACACTCACAATAAAACTGATATATTAGCATGACTGTGGTGATACTGCTTAAATATTACACATTAATCAGTATGCATTACTAAAAAAGATTTGAAATTCATCTTGTTTCATTATTGCATCACTTAAAGGTTTTAGAGGCAGTGTTACCTTAAATTCGTAAGACTCTTCAATCACCACATCCAATCTGGTATGTTCTCCCAGACTAGGACATCCCATCTTAGCTACTTCCTCTTCCTCTGGCTTATTCTCATTAGAGTCTCCTAAACATACACAAACATGACAAAGAAAAACTTATTAGAAACATATACCCTTTATTTGTCCAGCTAGTACAATGTGGATATTAAGCCTCATGAAAATGATCAGCGCTTACAAAAATGAGCAGGTATAACAGGGATTGATGGATGGATGGAATAATACACGTTGCAATTTTTGAAACTGACAAGCAGGAAATTTCATAAATCTTATGAGTGCCATTGTGCTAATTGAATTGTAAAGTAAGGCATTTTAGATGGAAGGGTCATTGCCAGAAAAGGCTGTATAAATAATGTAGAGAATAGTGAGAGCCTCCAGTCACACTGCTAACACAAGGTGATACAGAGACAGCCAATTATTTCCTCAGGTAACAAACTTCAAAGCCTGCAGGTATAAGACTTTAATCCTTTACTGTAAGCATATTTCCTACAGTACACATTATTTACTAAGCCAGGGGATTTGAAATGATGCATGCTAAGAGGGAGAGAAAGAAATTATTTTTACTCCATTAAAAATATTTCTTAAAACTGAAAAGAGCATTATGTAGCAGCTGCTCGTCCTGAACGCTCAATTCATTCACTTCTGTATTTTAATTTAGCTTTTTTCCCTTTCTTTTATCTGTAACCTTTCATCTTTCATCACTTTGTTCATGTTCTCCTCATTAAATGACCTCCACAATCGTTTTATTTGCAGCTTCATCTGCACTGCTCATTTGCAAGCTTCAATTTTTAGATATTATCTGAAAATGTAAAGCAAAAAGTGGCACAAAAACACGGCTGCTGGTGCAAATAAACCAGGAGACATTCAGCTGCTTCCGTTTGGTGTACTCCAATGGATAATTAGCAAACAGACTTTTATTTCTATATATCCGAATAGCAAAGGTGTGAATTCCTGAGATTTAATGGACAGTAAATTGAAGATACACACACACAAATGTTGTCCACACACAAACTTTACCTATATTAAAAACTAATTTGGTTATTCTTTGTTTATGGGTATTGACACTGTATATATATATATATATATATATATATATATATATATATATATATATATAGTATATAATTACATTTACATTTAATCATTTAATCATTTATTTTATCCAATGACTTAAAAATGAGGAGAACAATAGAAGCAATCAGACTAACAAGAGAGCAACAGTATACAAGTGCTTTGAAAAGTCTAGCACAGTACACATAGCAAGGTGTTTTTTTATTTTAAATAAATTAGAGCTGATAGAATAGAATAGAATTATATATAGTATATAATTACATTTACATTTAATCATTTAGCAGACGCTTTTATCCAATGACTTAAAAATGAGGAGAACAATAGAAGCAATCAGACTAACAAGAGAGCAACAGTATACAAGTGCTTTGAAAAGTCTAGCACAGTACACATAGCAAGGTGTTTTTTTATTTTAAATAAATTAGAGCTGATAGAATAGAATAGAATAGAACAGAACAGGGTTAATTTTGACAGGCATTTTTGATTTAGTCTTAGTCTTTATCTTGAGACGAAAATGCTTAATAGTCTTAGTCACATTTTAGTCATTCTACATTCCGATTGGTTGCCGCCCAACAGCGTCATAGTTCATTACCATAAAGTTAAACTGATTTCAACTCTCCTTGATGCCCTAGCCGGCCAAGACGCGCCGCGCCGCTCCTCGCCGCTTTTCGCCGCCTTTCGCCGCCCGCTCACATTGAAAATTAATGTCTTCCGGTCACTTTGACGCTCTCGCCGCCGGCGGTGTGAACGCACAGTTAGTCACAGAAAAAAAATTCATTAACGAATATTTTTCGTTGCTGTCTTCGTTGACAAAATTAACACTGGAATAGAATAGAATAGGTAAGTGCTAGTAGTAATTGGTCAGGTGCTGGTGTCTTTAGACGTTTTTTGAAAATGGCTAAAGACTCAGCACCTGGAATTGAGATAGGCAGGTCGTTCCGCCAGCTGGGAACAGTCCAGGAAAATGTCCATGAGAGTGATTTTGTGCCTCTTTGAGATGGTACCACAAGGCATCATTCACTTGCAGAACACATGCCTCTGGAGGGAGCATAAGTCTGGGAAGATTTGTATTTGGCGTTTTTTGTCTTTATTTTGATAGGACCGTTGGTAGACAGGAAGCAAAGTGGGAGAGAGTGGGGTGGGATTGGGAAAGGTCCACGAGCCGGGATTTGAAGTCGGGACGCCTGAAGCGTAATGGCTTTAATGTCGGAGCATTGCCCATGAGGCTATCGCCGCTATTTTATATGTTGCCGCGCTGCCAATGAGGCTATCTTCGCTATTTTATTTACACTATATATATATATATATATATATATTTTCTTTATTTTACAAGTGGAAAATGTACATTAATTGACATGAGCATCATGTAAATGTGCCAGATTTAGATTCCCATGCAACTGAATAACTTTTATTAGAGATTTTTTTTGTAATAAATTCTATCAATCTAAATTATGTGAATTTCTAAATTAAGTGACGTTCATTCCATCTTAATCCTATTAAAATTCAAATTTAAATTATAATTCTGCAACATTAACAATCAATTAACAATTGAAATTTTTAATTAAAATACTGAATACTGAAGAACTCTAACATTCAGATGTTTGAAAACACACAAATATTTCACACAATTTACCATGTTTCTGTCCAATCTCTAGTAGCACTGGCTCTCCTAACTCAATGCTGAACGTCTTGTTCTTTTCATATTCTTCATCATCTATAATCTTCACCTCGATTGTTTTCCTGTAAAGAGAGCAAAATAGAGTGACACAGTGCTATTTTTTTAAACACACTTACATAATTTTTATTTTAATTACTTGAACACATGCACACACGCTGTGAAACTATGACTCTAAACAACAAGAATTTAATTTGAATGAACTTGTGTGTATTCATCTGTAATTCCCGCCAGGATTTGTATAACACTGACATACAGTAAACACACCCAAAATACATCATAATTTCATGCATTATTAATGATGTTTTGTAGCGCCAATGTAAATGCCACTGAGGGTGTAAACCTTAAGTACAGGATTCAGAATAATTGCTTCATAATTAATGAACAAAGTGAGAACATCTTACTCCCATAGAGGGATATTACAGCGTTGCTCTCCTCAAACAACCACCTTGAGCTATAATAAGAACTGCACAAGAGTTTAACAAGCACACTGAAACTGTTCAGCCAATCCTGCACAGAAATCTCAAAAATCACTTACAAAATACACAAAAATACAGTACCATGATAATACCAGTAGTATTTTGTGGTACATGTGCCATTGTATTATCTGAAGTACCTTGGAGTAGCATGTACACTACCGTTCAAAGTGTGGAGTCAATAAGATTTTTAATGCTTTTAAATAAGCCACTTATTCTCAGACAGGCTGCCTTTTTTGGATAAAAATACAGTAAAAACAGTAATATTGTGAAATATTACTACAATTCAAAATAACTATTTTCTGTTTTAATATATTTTAAATGTAATTGAGTCCTGTCAAGGCAACGTTGAATTTTCAGCAACCTATACTGCAGTCTTCAGTGTCACATGATCCTATAGAAATAATTTTAATATGCTTTGAAATAGAAATATTTTGTAACGTTATAAAAATCTTTATTGTCATTTTTGATCAAATTAACACATATTTGCTGAATAAAAGTCTCACTGAGCCCAAACTTTTGAACACTAGTGTAAATATGATATATGAATTATATGTATATATAATCATTCAGCAACATGGTACAGGGGAGGGCATATATTGCCAGACCTCCTAACTCAACAGTACTCACAGACTGTTTATGTGTGTATATATATAGATAAGCGAGAGGTCAAAAGCCCCTGTGTCAAGAACAACAGAATATTATTGTGGCTATCTCAGTGTTCCCGCTTTCACCACCCACTGAATTAATTACACATTCATTCATCCTTTTTTTCAGTTAAAACTGACAGATACATTAAATTAAAGCAGGCTTGATCAATAGCCCTCATCTTCTTCTGTGTGAGGAACAGAGTGAGTAAGACAGAAACAAAGAGAGCAAATAATTTTTTTAAACGGGATGAAAAATTATTCTGTTGACAGTGAGATTTTCTGCTCTACAAAGGGACGTACAGTGGGAAAAGAATCACCCCCTTTAAAATAATCACATTTTGTTGCATTGCAGCCTGAAATAAAGACTGACACATTTTTTGTTTTATCCAGCTGTATTTACTCAGATCACCCCCTTGTGTCAGTATTTTGTTGAACCACCTTTTACTTTAATTACAGCCTTTAGTCTGTTGGGATTTTTCTCTACTAACTTTGCACATCTAGACTTGAGCAGAACTCTTCAAGTTCAGTTAAATTTGATGGTGACCATTTGTGGACTGCAGTCATTCCACAGATTTTCAGTGGGGTTTAAGTCTGGGCTCTGACTAGGCCATGCAAGGACATTCACCTTTTTCTCCTTCAACCACTGTGTGCTCAGGTTTGCTGTGTGCTTTGGGTCATTGTCATGTTGGAAGGTAAACCTTCTTACCATTCTCTTGACATCTTTCTGGCAGAGGGCAGCAGATTTTCCTCAATAATTTGATGGTATTTTGCCCCTTATATTTTGCCTTCTATCCTGACAAGTGCTCCAGTCCCTTCTGCAGAGAAACACCCCATAACAGGATATTACCAGCTCCATGCTTTACTGCAGGAATGCTGTTATTTGGATGTTAAGCTGTACTGGATTTCTGCCAGACGTATCGTTTGGTGTTGAGGCCAAATAATTCAATGTTAGTCTCATCTGCCTTAGAATCTTCAAGGTGTGTTTTGGCAAAGCTCAGTCGTGACTGCATGTGGCCTTTCTTGAGGAGTGGCTTTTTTCTTGCAACCCTCCCATACAAGCCACATTTGTGGAGAATTTGTGATATTGTTGTCACATGCACACAATGACCAGTCTTTGTCATAAATTCCTGCAACTGCTTCAGAGTTGCTGTAGGCCTCTTTGTAGTCTCTCTGCAGTTTCCTCCTGACTCTTTCATCCAGGTTGGAGCGACATTCTGATCCAGCGAGGGTCTGTGTACCAAATACCTTTCACTTCTTAATAATAGACTTCACTGTGCTTCTAGGCATTGAGTCATTTCCTGTAGCTCAAACAGTAGAGTATGATTCTATCAACACCAGGGTCATGGGTTCCATTCTCAGAGAATGCTAGCCTAGGACTGATAAATGTTTTATGTTAGACTATGCAACATAAGTCACTAATATAAGTATTTGGTCACGTTTAACAGCATTGGTTGGTTGGTCAGTCATTTGGATTCTTAGGTGACACATGAAACTGAAAGTGTACCACATTAACCAAAGCAAGATATTTATGTGGCATATCATATAGACAAGCTAGCATTGATCTCAGAACATCTCTCTCACACTCTCCAACTTTATGCATTTCATTATTATTTGCATTTAGCATGGCCACAGTTTACTCAAGTTAACTCTGAAGTGTGTCATATGTGCCATTAGTGGCTCCAATTGAACAGTGAAAAATAATCACTGTTTTCGAACAGGTTTCCCTAATACATCTATCGGTTCTTTTACCCCATCACCTGACTTACAGTTTTGACAAATGAAACAGTGGCACAAATGAAATAAAAGGTATTACTTGGACTGCTCAAATAAAGCAATGTTTTGAAAGTGGCACAAAGCAACCATGTTTCCACTGTTCAGGAAATCAACCTATGAATAGCTTAATTATAGTTGTCTCTGCACATTAGACTGTGTTAAGAGAAAGTATTTTGACATCGAAAAAATTACACACTTCACCTTTAAGGGTGACAAAGCTGAGGGCAGATGGTCTGGGTCCAGAGAATCATCCACGTAATAGTCATGGACATTTACAGTCGTTAAGTTACAGTCAACAAATGCCACAAATAGAGACCATAAGGAAAGAAAGACAAAGATAGTTCTTCCCAACAGAATAACAGAATAAAAAGGATTTAAATGGCAGTCACTCTGATAAGTATTGGCTTGACAGAAGCAGAGAGAAAGGAGCAAAATAAATTAAATGTGGTAGAGCTTTTGTATGAACTGAAAAGAACAGGCAAGCTGGATGCCATGGAAGAATGGGCTCTAGTTTGCCAGTATACCACTGCTCAGGTGCGTAGCCATCATTTCAAAAGTGAGGGGGACAGAAATGTAATATATATATATATATATATATATGTATATATAAAAAACATTACAATATAACATTTCTGTAATATATATAAGCTACCAGTCAACAGCTTTTGAACAGTAAGATTTTTAATGTTTTATAG